CCAAACTCATCTAAAACTAGGGTTTTTGAGGGAACTTCAGAAGGATTTGGGCTTCTAAAGCTTCCTGAGATTCTGGGAGTCGGAAAATCTAAAAACTTTCGGCTGTGCCCAAGGTACGAACCTTGAAGAAGAGAATGAGAAATCTAGCTCCAACCACCTCTACGGTTCCACCTCTCCGGGCGGCCCTACACCTGGAATAGATGNACTCNCTNNCTCCCGTCGAGATCTATCTTTTGATATCAAATCCGTCAAAACATCTTGTTCTGAAGCCGAGTTATCTGCCGGCCCGTTTGCAACGATGATATCTATGGTCCAGAGGTAAATAATGTCGAATGCACCGATCTTGGCCTTTCAATCACTCCGAAAAGGTCGCGCACCTGGCACCCGCGATTGATTAATGGTTTAGGAGATGTACTTCCTGAAGGCACTATATAGAAAGTGTCTTATATGGGCCTCCAAGCCAGTTCGCTTTCTCATTTTTTTTTCTAGAAAAAAAGGTATCTTTGTCGACAATATTTCTTCTTCTCAAGAATTCTTCGAGAAGTCGTTTTTTTTCGAGGATGACAGTAGCTGTGTAAAGTAAGAAGTAGAGATCGGTATGAAGACGTCATGGAGAAAAAAATGAAGATGTTATCGATGAACTGTCGACTTGGGCAGAAAATCGAGAACCTAGGAATGGTGTACGAAGGCGAAAGATCAATTCTCTGGATTTAAAGGTTCTAGACGTAGCTGTAAATTCTGGGTCTACTGTATATCTACAAGAAGTTTCTGTTGTCATTAATTTCGCCCATAGTCTTCTAGACGAGCCGAAATTGGTCAAAATGGGTTCTGGAAGGTGTCTTGAGCTCCCAAAATCTTCCAGAAGCTACCAAATGATTCGATGACCAAGTTTACCAAGAGAATGGCTTATCCAAGCCTAAATCTGGATCTCAGAACTCTGAGAGCTGATAGGAAGGTATGCGACGCTTTCCTAGCTTGTCAGAAGTCTTGGCACGGACTCTACAGTAGGTTTCGGTTGTCTTTAAATGGTCAATGGACGCGACTAGATGAGCCAAAATGGTTCTGGAAGGCGTAAGATCGTTCCTCAAGTTTCCAGAAGCTTCCAGTTGCTTCTGAGACCTAGCTAGATCGTTTGTTTTACTGGGACCTGCTTATCTCAGCTCAGACTGGAGATCAGAAGACGTGCGTTTCTCTCCTAGCTTGTCAGAATCTGGCAAGGAAGCTTCAAATGTCCAGATCAGAGGCTGGAGCTGGCTAAACTGCTCCGAGTTCTAGACCCAAAGAATCTGAAGGTCTCCAAGAGCAGAAGGCGTTCGAAGAGATTCTGACAGGTTGACCTGATTCCAGGAGCCAATATCATCTGCCCCTCTTCATCTTCTTCTTCCCTTTTCTCCAATCTTCCTCCCATTCAACACGAAAACCTGAGAGAGCGGCGAGCGGTCGGTGCGGACGGGCGCATCGCATCTCCACTACGTCTCTCTCCCGCCTCCCTGCGTCTCTTCGTCTCATATGATCACTCGCCACATTCGTTGTTCGCCGGGGCGGTCCTGGGTTCTTCTATTGATTCACTCGCACCCTCCGCGCCCCAGAACGTACTCTCGCATTTTTCTCTTCTCTGTCTTTTTTAGTTAGAATTCTTGGTTCAGTTTGGGGTTTTAGACCTTTGGTGCTGGGTGGGCCGGACCACCCGGGTAGGATGTTCTGGGAGGTCTTAGGCCTTAGGTCTAGGAAAGTCTTCGAGAAGAGGCCATTTTTTGGGTTTAGTGGGCGGAGCTTCTAGATTCTGGATTTCTGGGCTTTCGAGATTCTGGAACCTAGAACTGCGGCTTCCTGGATTCTTGGACTCTTGATCTCTGAAATTCTGAAAACCTGGATTCTGGATCTCTAGATCCTTGGATTCTAGAACCTTGAGTTTCAGGATTTCCAGCATTCTAGAACCTGGGGATCCTGGATTTTTAGGATCCTGAATTTTGGAATTTGAAGATTCTGGATTCCTAGGAAACTCTGCGGAATTTCACAACTTTTGCGATTTTCGGATTTTAGGAAAATTTGAAAATCTGAAAGTCTGGGACCCACTTTCCCTAGATGAACCTCCTTTCCTCTGTGCCTTTTTGCACTCTCCGTCGTTCTTTTTTTTTGGCCCCGCCCCCTTTTTCCTTCTTCTTCTTCTCGGAAATTTTCTGGGGTCTCATTTGCAAAGGAAGGAGCCAAGAAGGCACACATTTTTCCCTCTAACCTAAATTTTTCTCTAAATCTCTCACTTTCTTCTTTCTCTCCGCTGGAGGAGCGAGACGACGACTACGGTAGTTTTATGCCATGGTCTTGAGGCTGTGAAAGTTGCTGCTGGCCCAGAATCCCAAACTAGGCCACCGCCTTTTAGCTGATCTAGCTTTAGCTAGCTAAATTTTGCTCAGGCGAAAACCTAGGCCACAAGCCGATGGCCTAGAATTCCCACGGCCAGGTCGCAATGATACAGTGGCCTAGAATCCGGGAGCTAGAAAAACTAGGTCATCCCGGTCATGCATTTTTCTACCGTACCCCACAAAAAGGGCGGAGCCTATTTTGACACACACACACACACATACAAACACAGAACAACCCATAATTTTGGCTCCTCGCTTTTTCTGCTTCTGCTCAATTTCCTTTGGAAAGTTTAGGCTCCGCCCCTTCTTTCGGTCCTACTGTAGGCTTCATTTTCTCTGCGCTCTCTCATCTCCCCACACTCTCTCACCCTCTCTCTCTCTCTCTCTCTGCCTTTATCATTTTCTAATTAAGTATCAATAAATCAAATTTATATATTCCTCTTCTTCTTCTAGAAAACTTTTTTTTGGGCAGAAGAGACAGTGAGAGAGTGTGAGAGAGCGCAGAGAAAAAAAGAACACAGAGAGAGTGAAAAAAACGCGCACGCAACGCACACGCTTTGCGCGCCGCGTGTGTAGAGAGAGCGAGAGTGTGTGCGAGACGAAGAGACGCAGACACTGCCGTATCTCTCTTCTACTCGTTTTTATCGGTTTTCGCCTTCTCCTTCTAGCCATTTCCCCTATTTTTCTTCTGTTTCTGTTTTTTTTCAGTCCCTTTGTCTTCTAAATATGGGCGGGGCCTAGAAATCCCCCTAGGTGGAATTCTAGGTCATCAAATGCTAAAAGGATTACTGTAGACAATGGAATTCTTGTTAGGATTGGAAGTACCGTAACCCTTATCCTACTACTCG